CCCCCCCCCCCCCCCCCCCCCCCCCCCCCCCCCCCCCCCCCCCCCCCCCCCCCCCCCCCGGGGGGGGGCGGCCCCGGCACAGGGATTTCTTCAAAAAAATACTTTTTTTCTCAGAATTATTCAAAACATATATAAATCGACTCAGTTTTTGTAGTACACGTAACAATCGGATGCGAATCCGATGTTTCTTCATTTTTTTATCTTGTATTTAGTGCGCAAATACAATCAGATCAATATTGTCTTACATTTACAGTTATTCCTGCTGGCTCCACTCTTTTATGTAAAGATCTAGTTCAATTTTTATTTCTATTTATCTAATTATGAAATCTATCATTGACAGGTCCTGGAGACGTTCCACCAACCACAACTACAACGTAAGTTACTTTTACAATATCAATACCCAAGCAGACAAAATTTTTCAGAAACGCGTTTAAACACCACAAAAACTATGTTTCTATACGTTTTGCGTCGTTTTTAGGAGGCTGGCCGTGCAAACGCCAATCTTTCATTTTTCACCACATGAAAACTCGCAAATACTTTGTGACCATTGTAGTATGGTATTCATCCTCGTTAACGATTCAATTTGTCAATTTGATAGCGTTTAAACGATTATTTCAATTGGCATGCACGCTTTTTTCCAGGGTGTGGGTGTGTGGGTCTGTAGATTTTCCACTTCTATCGACACCGACACCCACAGCCACATCCCACACCTCACACTCCACATCCACACCCCATCCATTGTGCGAAAATATCTAGCGTTTTCATGATGCATTATCTTGAACGCTTTTGGGTAGTAATCGGGAACATCAACTAGCATCCAAAAACGGTATAGAAAACTAGTGTTTAAACGCGTTTCTGAAAACTTTTGTCTGCTTGGGTAGCATGGGTTACACTTTTGAGATACATGAATATGCTGACTCCAATTTCGGATTCTGTCTTCCGCCAAGATTTAATGGAAATCTCTGTTTTTCAGGACAAGTACCAGTACAACAAGCACCAGTACAACAAGGACCACTACTACGACAAGTGCCACTACAACAACAACTACTACAGAAACGACAACCACCACGGCAACAACAACAACAACAACTACGACGACGACGACAACAACAACTACTACAACGACAACGACAACAACAACATCTACGACGACGACGACGACAACAACAACAACTACTACAACAACAACCACAACTACGACGACGACAACGACGACGACGACAACAACGACGACGACGACGACGACGACAACATCAACAACTACGACAACTGCGACGACTACTACGACAACAACTTCTTTAGCTACGAACACAGGTAAGAGCTCATAAAATACACGTGATGCAAGATGATGGAGTTTTTTTCTATGAAGGTGCATCAAATGATGCATGGATTATTGCCGTGGCGGTATTAGGATTTCTGGCTCTATTGAGTTTATGTTGTTGTTGTTGGTGGTGGCTATTGTAAGCTTATTTTAATCGATAAATGCCTTGTGTAAAGTGAATGATGTGTGCTTCTTTTTAGTGCTGGAGGACGTCGTCGTCGTCTAGCAAATAGAGAAAGAAAGAACAAAGCAAGTGAATACTTATTGATGAACGATAAGACACGCCTATGTTCAAGTCTGCCAGAATCAATCTCTACAATTAAACCGTCAATTATATCCAGTGAACAACAACTTCCCTTCAAGAATAAATTACTAAGTCAAAATCATGGGATTGAGCCATTTGATTCCAAGAACGGTGTATCTGTAAGCAGAGTATCAACTAGCGCTAGCACCTTGAACACGAATCCCTATTTTCGATCTATCAGCAACTTATCAAAAGATTCGAGTATTGAACGAGAATCTGAGACGAATAGTGCGAGACTTACGACTGTGACACGCATCAGTCGAATAGACAGACCATTGACAAATGAAGGAAACAAAAATATTAAACCTCCAAATCGTAATGAAGAAATTCACCTGACGAAACTTAATACTGAGAAACTTCCATCTGTGACCGTGATAAAATTACCGAGAGAAATGTCAACGAAATCACGTGGTAATATTATCAAGGTAGAGAAATCCAATATTTCGTCTCGAGAAAATACACAACTATCAGACAACTCATTATCAAGAATACATTCGACTAGTTCAGTACGTGTCAGCAAAGTCAATCGATCAAGTTTACCAAATATGGATAATGCATCACACAAAATCAATAATGTTGTATCACCAGTGAATGAAAGAATAACAAAAGCAGCAAGTTTTATAATATTACCTCAATCAAATTTGCCATCGACAATGTTTAATATGCATCAGGGCATATCGAGTGAAGCATTCAAGTCAATTGCCGTTCAACGAAATTCATCGCACAGCAGTAATCAAAAACAAAACGATAAAGCTAGATTATCAGGCAACAGCAAAAAAGAGGCTAAGGTTTCAATTACGAGAGTACATCGTTCAAAAGCATTTGCAAATACATGAAATCGTATTCACTAATCATGACATTTATAAAATGAACACTATTTTAACTTTTTCAATTAATTAATTAATCCCAGAATTCAACACAACTAACAAAAACTCTTTTTTTCCACTGCTTTTAAACTAATAAAACACATTTATTTCAAATCATGTCGATTGTATCAATATTGCACCTAATTCATGCTTCATAAATTTTACAAACATATGTAGTGTAGTTTTGAATGGTATGATTTACTAAAAAACTAATAGAAAAACAATCTACTCAAGAGTAAGAAACAATAAGTACTATATATGAAATCGAAAATTGACATGATTAAATCAAAGTAATTCGTTTGCTACTAGCTGATTATTCTGTCTACTAGAGATTTATTTATCTTTTCTGGTTCTTTATTTTCATTACGATTCTTTAATTAATGATAAAATGAGAATGAAGAATTACTAAATACTGCTGCTTATCGCCGATAATTCATTCAATAGTCGCTTGCTATGCTAAATCAAAGACGAGTAAAAATATTGTAAAACTGAGTTTTGGACCTGATCAATTCTATTTATTAGTATCTAATTTACGGGACAATCAAATTTTATTTTTCAAATTGTTAGAAATTGATTTGTTCCAAACTAACGTAAGGTTATGATAATGCAATTGTTAATCTATAGGCAATACCAAATGATTATTCCTCACAACACACCTGTTTTATAAATTGTAGTAGAATTCACGAGGGGGAACAAACTGATTTCGAGATTTCATGATTTCGCCTGAAGTTTTTTGATTTCAAATAATTTCAAATGATTTCAAGTGATTTCAAGTTGATTTCGACTTCCGAAATCAGTTTGTTCCCCCTTGGATTTCAATTATTCTATCGAACATTAACTTGTCTTCCAAGAAATTCAGAAGCAAAACAACAAATGATTCAAGCGTGTAAAAAATACTGCGATGGAAATACGATCGAAATGGAATTTATTGATGCGTTTGAAAACAACTATCGATCCGAATATGCTATTGGTTGGTATTTAAAACGATCGTTTCTTTATAAATTAATCAATAAAGCATTAAGAACACACGATATTGATTTTTTGTGTATGTTTCGATTTTTTATTGATGATCTCACTGAAAATCTTCAGCGTGAGCATAAAAAGTCGTTGTCATTAAAAGATAAAATGCTAGATGTTTATCGAGGAGTCAAATTTCGCAAGGAAGAGTTCGACAATTTAAAAGAAAATCGTAGAAAACTAATTTTCACCAATGGCTATTTTTCCACTAGTATGTCAAAAGAATTCGAATTAAATATGGCACTAACAAGAACAACAAAAATTGATGTTGTTTCAGTTCTTTTCCATATTCAATGTCATATTGAACAAATCCATGAAAATGTGTTATTTGCTAATATTAATCAATTAAATGGGCGCCAAGATCATCAACTAGTCTTATTTGATTGCAATACGTGTTTCCAAATAGAATCAATTGAAAAACATTCAACTTTATACATAATTAAAATGAATCTTTCCAATCCAGGACAACAAATCACCAAAGATTGCATTGAATTAATCCAGAACGAAACAGAAGAAACGAATCTTTCAATTCATTTTGGAAGATTATTCTTCGATTTGTGCGAATAAGATAGATCACAGAAATATTTTCAATGATTGTTGAATGATTCCAATGATGAAGACCAAGCTTGGATTGAATTCAGTATTGGTAAAATTCACCATATGAAAGACGAATAGAATCACGCTCGAGGATATTATGATCGTGCCTATGAGCACATGATAAAAACTAAGCCAGCGCGGATGAAAGGGGTTGCTGAAGTTTTACAGAGTATAGACTGTCTCCTTGTCCATCAAGCAAAATACAAGGGGGAGCAAACTGATTTCGGAAGTCGAAATCAACTTGAAATCATTTGAAATCAAAAACTCCAGGCGAAATCATGAAATCTCGAAATCAGTTTGTTCCCCCTTGTTGAAACCGAAGGAATTTTGCTGATTCTCTCGATAGATCTTTCGTCAATATTTGATGTTGATCAAAAAAAGCAAATGTGTGTGTTTGTTTGTCAACAAGATCAATTTGTTCTTTAACCGATGTACATAAGTCATCAAGATTAATATATGTACCAACAACATTTGAATATTCAGTTAATACATCTTCACACGGAGTTTTTTCCTTATTGAAAATAAAAAATGAATAGATGTTATGGACAGAATAAATACTAGATAAAATTTGTGGGGCTTCTTCTCCGGATATTATTAAAAAGATCATTTCTTTATCAATTGATTGAATGCGTCTCATAAATTCAGAACAAAGAATAACATAATCATTAATAAGTCGAAGTTGTCGTATGGTTCGCTGAGTATATTTACATGAGCGAGTATTTGAATCAAACCAAATCAGTGTTAAACTTTCTTTATTTTCACCATCGTTCATAACGACAATTTTTTTTGTGGTCCACTTTTTGAATTGATGTTTCATATGCCATATAAAATCAATTGAAGTTCAATTATGCTGATGTTAAAGTCAATATTACAGACGAACAAAGAAATTTGTTTAGTAAAAATGAATTACAAAGTAGAATTGGATCGGCTTTTTGTATCAACAGAAAAAATGATAATTCATTTCTTTAACGCCGCAATCTTTGCTGTTTATGTTGCTGTAGGATATGATCTAGTCTCTTATTTATGAGTAAGGCAAGTTGGAAAGGTGATCCATATGATTCCCACGATTACGTTAAAAAATTGTTGCTAGCATAGATCGGGAAAATTGAATATGAAAACTGCCTCTTCTTTTTTGTAGCTATCATAACTTGATCGTTCTGAAGACTTACTTTCTAGTTTTTGTTTTGAATGGATAGTTGAGTATCAGTTTGGGGAACTCGTCTAAAAATGATGATGCAAACAGTCTGCAATTGCCTCCTACGTGACAATTACAAGTAACAGCTGTATAACGTGGGTTAATTGCAGATTCTCAGCTATTTTAGATGGAATCATCAAAAGTAATTTTTCTCGTCATTTTTTTCACAGATGAATAGAGAAAATGATTTTCTTCCAACGATGACTATCTTACTGTTAGGCTTATGAATGTGTGAGTGTGCATCTGCGTTTGATCATACATTTATCGCACTGATACCCCACGGGGATGATATTGAGCGATTCCTACTGGTATAACAAATAAATAACATTTAATCAGTTCCTGTTTTAAGCACGTGTGAAAAGAAGACAAATCAAGCGAACAAAGATAATCAAACAAAGAAAAATGGAAAGCAATTACATTGATGTTTGTCAACAACTGAAATGAATATATCATGCATGAGTTATTATTGAATTCGTTTTCTGTTAATAAATAAAGCAGGATATTGTCTCTTGTATTCTAGGCAATTTTTGTAGTTTCTTCAAAGAGAGTACGGATATCATCGAGGGCTTTGCGAATTTCTCTGCCGAAACGTTGTGAATCCTAGAAAAAAAGAAGAAAAATATATAAATATAAATAAAATGAGCTCATTACTATTACCGTTTCACGAGATGATCGTCGAGAAGAAATGTGAAAAAAGATGATATCCTCGGATATAATATAACTAACCCCGTATCCATTTTGATCAACCTAGAATAGAAAAAATGTATGACATGCGAATTAATTGAGCAGAATTGACTATTAACTCGCATTATGAGTACTTACAGATCCAAAACCGCCACCAGCACTGACTCCGTCGGCTGTTGTGTTCGACTTTACATGAGGATTGCCATATTGTGTTGGTGTCTAAAAACGAACAAATGTGAAAACTAGGTAATACTATGAAGCATGCGTGCAACAAAAAAAAATAAAAGAAACAATGAAAACTCTTACTTGACTAGTAGATAGTTTCCATGGTTCTTGCAAAACATTTTGAAGAAATGGTGAATCCAACTTGAGATATTTCGAGATTACATAGAGACAGAACAAATGTCGATCGATGCCTTTACCACTCATGGCGTCACGATACTGTTGTTGATGAAAATCACATGCAAGGCGTAACAATTGAATACGTTCGGTATTCTAGAGAGAGAGATAGAGATAGAGAAAGTGAAATCAGATCAAAAATATAGAACGTTATAGAGCATCACATACAGTGATCATTGAATTTTCCATAGCTCTGATCCAAGCACTCGACTCGATCGAACACGATCGTACCGTTTCGGTACGAGAATTACGAAACAATCGTGTCATTGATGCTTCATAGGTTAAATTAAAACGACCAGAATCCTTAAATTCAAATGAAGAGAAAGCGATGCTTTTTATGGCAAAACATTTCGACTGTTCTTACACGATAGTGAGCCAATTGAAGAGCCATTTGAATATAAGCATCTGGAGATATTTTACATTTCTTGATGAAATTTTTACCTACACATAGAACATCATATGAAAATGTAACAAACGATGATATAAAATTCATGTCTTAAGTTTTCCGCTAGCTCATAGTTTCACTTACATAGTCGAACAAATATCAATCTAGTTAATTACTTAGCGCGAAGACTTACTATATGAATTTTGAACGTACACATGTAGATCAACGTCATTGCACAACGCAGTAGCTTCGTTCAAACTTTGTTCGATCACTTTTTTACACTAGAAAACACGAGTTCATAACAATGAATAGCAGATTGTTCGAAAACACCGCTTCTTACGGCACTTGAAAGGTCCCATTTGAGTTTTATCGGATGGATAGCATTGAAACGTGGAATACCGTGAGTATTACCAAGGGGATCGTAACTAGAAAACAGTCGATTTATCAACTCTATTCGATTTTTTTATTTTGCCATTAGCCAGATCGATAACTTACCCGAGCACAATGAAATCTTCTGCAAGAACATATTCAGTCATATGGCCAGACACAGGTGCATCAGCCTATACGACGCAAACGAAGAAATTAAAATGATCTATAGAAGTGTTTTTATCACGCTCATACCCAACTATGTTCTACATTTAAACCAAACTGCGATGCAAAATAATTTCAATTATAAGATTTATTTTTATTTTTGATACTACTCACCACTGCATTTTTGCTGATAATTAGATTGAATGATTTGTCGAACCAACGATCGTAACCTTTGCCATGGAAAATTGCCCGAGCGTATTCATCAAATTCGTTGCTCATATTCTAGGTAACAGAAGAAAAACAATGGTTATCGCTGCCAATAAACAAATCAGACAACAAGAAAAAGAAAATTCAGAGAGAATAATCTGGTTTATTAACAATCATTATAATTTCATCAAGATTCCGAACGAAGCACCTATTTTTATATAGCCTGCTGATGAAAAAGATAATTCAAGTCAACCTACCGTTCCAATTTCGAAATCAGAATCTTCTAAAATGAGTACGAAGGCCGCTTTTTCGATCGCATCCAACGACACACGATTACAACCAGTATTAAAGAATGTTTCACGTGCTGTAGCCCACAAAGTTCGATCACCTGCGGTCAAAGCAGCCAAATGTTCTTCACCATCTGCAGGCGGCGTTTCATCTCGAAGAATCTCATCGAATTGACTAAAGAAAAAAAGCTCTTGAGTTCTTTCTACAATATCACTAATACCTACATTTGTAATTCGCACGGTTGTAAGAGTTTATTTCTATAGTAAGTGAAAACTTTGTACCAGCGATCTTTATGATAGACAGCAATATGTTGACTATCGGAATAATGTACAATGTGATCTAGAGAAAGTTCCGAAATAAAATGAATTCATCAATGATCGAAAAACGTTTTCTACCGGTTTCTTTGCCTGGAATGCGAACGGTATTAAATTGTCGTTCGTGTTGAATTGAACAGAGTGGTATCGAACTGAAAGCCATTAACTAAATAATATTGATAATGACGAGAAAAGTTTGATAGCTGCGATCATTCGTACCGGTTTAACTTTTTCAAGTTCCAATTCAGTACGATATTTCAATGCCGCGTAAACGATGTTGGCAGCACGTGCAGTTTGTTTCATTGCCGGACGAGAGAATACGGCGTCCTGGAATAGTCTATGTCGATTAGTCATCAAGTATATTTCAGTTAGAATTACTTACGAGACAATAATAATTACTATTCACTATAAGCGGTGATCGACCACGAAGATAGACAAATTTTTCCCACCAATCCGTTACCTAAAGTATACAAATCAACATAAAAATAAGAATATCTCCTGTTACTACATACATAATTCGATGACAAAAGCCATTTGAACCAAAGATACCTTTGTAGTTTATATCCAATAGTATTCTTGAATATGTCGGCTTGTTCTACCGTACGTTGATATGCTTCATCGTCGTAAAGTGGTCGAACTGTTCTCAAGTACCGTTGTAATGTATCATCTAAACTAGGCAATGGTAATGCTGGCAGAATATTTTGACACGAATATAAAGATGGGTCTCGACCGGCAAATACTTTCACGAGACCCATCCAAAATTTCGGTATTAGACCAACAGCTTCACCATGTTTTTGATACATCCAACCATGATACGAAAAAAGTGCCTTCAAGGTGTATTGACGAATTTTAATAATACTAATATAGGCACCTGCGGCAAAAGTAACACAAGCAATAAGTGTGCCATTTTTCGATGGGAACACGCGTCGAAAAATGTGCTCTTCCAACCAAGTAATGATACCGAATGATGAGTCATAGCCTTTCAAGTAGAGGACTGGAATGGTACTACAAAAAATGACTCCACGAATCGGATGACCTGGATATAAAGAATTGTACAGTGAGTTGAGCGTACGATAACTAGTCAATTGACAGCAACGTATATAGGAATAGTACGAATTTTTAACAATATCATTGCATGAATCAACATTATCGCCTAAAAAACGAGTTTGATTGTAGCTAGCCTTTTTCATTCTAATCATAGAAACGTCATTACCTTTCTGTTTCTCAGTCATTTTTGATCTCACGTATGCTCGTTTGTGTTTCTATAAATACTCAAACTGAGTCAAGGCGATGAATACTGAAAAGTACGAGTTACGAACTCGTACTTTGACCAGATGAATATTTCTTGTGTTCTTTAGACATGCTTGTGTATTAGTGTGTACTCAAATATGCTTACAACAACCAATGAAGTAACGAAAGAGATACGAAAAACACAAAAATGGAATGAAGGCAAACAAATGAGAACGCAAAAGGAATATAAATCGTGAAATAAAACAGAAGGTTTTTTGCTTCTACTTGCTTTTTCTCAATTCAACGATATATCAAGCTTGCTTTATCAGTCGTAAATAAAAAATGTTTTTTAATCTTTTATAATTTATATAGTACTCATCTACTCTCTACATACATTCTTAAGACCGTAAAACTGACGAAGTTAAACATCTTGGGTTAGTTGAGCTAATAGATAACATGATTCAATTAGATACTAACATCCACAAGGCATTTCACTTTTCTACAGATAACAGGCTGAATGCCCACTAAATCACTGCGAAAAATACATCAATATTCCATGACTGCATAGTATTATTAGTCTGTATACTTCATCAATATGAACCATAGCAAGGGTCACCGCACCATTTAGCTATAAATAACCGTTGAGTTATTTCTTGAGATCTGGCTGCGAATACCAAGTAAACTCATAATTAAGGCCTTTGCTTCGAAAATGTTGACAGCACATCGTGCAAAAGCAAAAGGAGATGATAATTATTTCTATTTTGAGAAAGAACTTTTCCCACTAATACTCTTGTGGCGTAGATGGTAAAAACATCGTACCCTCAACCGGAGGATTGGCTGTTTAACTTTGCTCAATCCATTCATTGAAATACTTGAATGTGTTCTTCGAGTCCGCTCAATAGCAGTTCTTTATTATTTTTTTCTCGCTCACACTTAACCAAGAAATATCACATTCAGATGTTGAACTGAAAAAGTAATGTTAACATCCGCATTTCGACTTTTTGTTTTTTATTTCCCCCTATCGGTGAAACAATTAGGTTACCATTGAGTTACACTAGATATTCACGTCTTAACACGTTTCTTTCTTTTCGATATGAAATTACTCCACACAATAAACCACAGAACGACATTAAAATGTTTACATGATGCAATAACGTTTATAAGGAAATAGTCACTCTCTCGATGTGTTGCTGCACAGTTATGTTATGAGAGAGTGACGCAAAAGGCAAAAAAAAGTGAATACTCGCTCCTGGATGGACTCGAACCATCAATCCACCGGTTAGAGGCCGGATGCGTTGTCCAATTGCGCCACAAGAGCACGGCCATTGACAAAGATTTGAAGATATGGTTCGAGTCGCAACAAAGGAGGGTTCATCTACGATAGACAACAACATGAACTTTTGCTTTGAACTCCAAGGATCTATTGACGGAATAATTTACAGTTATGTTCTATACTGAACTACTCAACATTGCTGCGCAAATATCAGAACTGCATGAAAACTAGTAAGATAGAAGTAGAGAATGGAAGGATAGAAAAAAACAGTATGAATCATAGAATGCAGGAAGCAAAGTTTTTGTTTCTGTATTCCTTTCGATGTTCACAGCGCTTCATCAGTTCATTTTCCCATCAATATTGATGTTTTATATGACTCGCGACGTCGGGCGGAACGTTAAAAGTATTTTAAAAAAGGCGTTCGACGGAAAAAACGCAAAGCCATCAAAACAACACCACGTAATCAAACAACTCGGTATATACTTCAAAATGCAGCTGCAGAGAGAGCACATTGAAAGATATGATTGCTCGTGACAGAATAAAAATTATTTATTGCTATTATAATATATAGAAAGGTATGTTACTAATCGTTATCGAAAGCATTACTTCAATAACTATTTAATTAAGATATTATTTGATTTGGTCAAATATGCATCGAATTCAAGCTGTTTGTTTGGATCACAAGTAAGAATTCATTGGTAACTATCAATCAATCGAGCAATTAGAAGCACAAGTGTTAGAAAAATATAGAATATATTTGACTCAAATAAATATAAAAGAAATTCGCGTTCCATTTATATTAGCCTTTAAAAATGAACAAACCGGCACAGAAGAAATACTGAAAGATATAAATGTGATACCTAGAAATGATAAACGATGGTTCAAAATGCATATTAAAAGGGCATGTTACTTAAAAATGAATTTATTTTGTATCGTTTACAGACAAAACATTTCAGCGAAATATTTTGTAGCATCGACAGATCCGTTGCAGCTCGAAAAAAAGATTTAAATACTAAGACACTTGATTGAACCTATATTTTCTGCTACAAGAATGTTTCTATTAACTGTTCAAAATACATCTTGAAAGTGCTGTACGATATTTGCTTCAGTTCTTGCTTTTTTTGGTAAAAACGATTTTATTAATTAATTTTAATATTTAAGATATGGGATACATGTTGTGTATGTATCAGTGCATTCGGTATTACATCTGATCAATTACCATGCGAATGTCCAACAGAAGATTGCAGCTATCAATATTGTGTTAAGAGACGCTCCATGAAAAAATCAAAGATTCCAAAAACATGGGAATCAACTGGTTCTGGATTTGATCCTCTAGAAATTTCAGCCTTTGTATACCATATATGAATCCAAAATATTACGGTCTAAAGATTTACTACTGACTCGTTAGAGCCGTCGCATCAGACACACCCTCAAAAAGCGCTCTAAAACTTGTAAAAAATTGGTCGATTAATTTCAGTGAAATTTTTTCCTATAAAATTTTCACTGTTGAAATCGAGTCATATACCAATCGATAGAGCTTGATTTACTCTACAAAACTGTGTATAGGACATTTCTCTATCATCTCAATTTAGAACGGAAAAATCGAAAAATCATGATTTTTTTGTATATAAAATTTTGACCATTTTTCAGTATTTTGGCCTAACGCCTAGAAGAGAAATGAAAGTCCAAAAGATATTTTATACTAGCTTGTAGAGCTTTCAATTCTGCATCGAATGATATATAGGAAATTGTTTCAAAACGTCCGAATCGCGAGAATATTCCATTTCAATATCGACCATTGACACCATATTGTACCTATTTTCCACATTATACAAAATTTGTCTGTGCATATGTTTTCTTCACGAGTTTTTTATTTCAGAATTGAATCATATACCAATCGATAGAGTTTGATTTACTACTCTACAAAAATGTGTATAGGATATTTCTCTATCATCTCGATTTAGAATCAAAAAGTCCAAACACAAGGTTTTGAGACTTGAAAACATTGTGATTTTTCAGTAAATGAACTAAATATTTCTATCATACAGTGATTCAAAGAGAACCTTTTTTATCAAATTGTAGCCCATTCAATTCTGAATCAATGCGTATATTAGACATAGTATCATAATAATCACAGGACGAGATAGCTAAGCTCCAATATGGAGTAATAAATTATCTTTTAGGTGGTTCAACTATTATGTCATATATCTTTTATCTATCGAGATGGATTAAATACCGATCGATAGAGCACAAAGTGCTCTACGAAACTGTATATGTGATATTTCTCTTTGGTCTCAATCTAAAATTAAAAAAACTCACATGCTATAGTTTTTCATAGTATATTTTTCAGTACTTTGAGAAAATACTAGTTCCTTAATAGAAAGATGTGTAGTGTGAAAGAAATGTTTAACTTCTCGTCTACTCAATTCAACATCGAATAATACGTTCAACAATACTTTTATATGTTATAAATCTGTCTTAGTCTTTAGAGTGAGAACTTCTAATATTTTCTCCTGTTGGGTATCAACTCTACTGCTTTAGTATATTGACTTCATGACGCAAATGAATTACAAAATAATTCAAAATCACTGAACTATATACTAATTCTCTGTCAAATATTTTCTATTAATGTTAGTGTCAGCGTCAGCGTCAGCGTCAGAGTCTACCAGGGTCTACTAAGGTCCTAAAAAGATTTGAACTATGATGTATGTTCTCGCTGTGTACACCCTACATCACACCAACACTACAGTGCATGATGTGTGTGTGTGCTCTCGCTGTGTATACCCTTCGGGACACCAACATTAATAGAAAAGTTTTGACAGAGAATTATTACATAATTCAATTATTTTGAATTACTTTGTAATTGATCATTTTATTCTAATTTTGTTGACCATTTTTGAGACTTGAGCACATTAACAATCTAGCAAAAATCGCGAAGAGTTGATTATATCAGTAACAAAACACTGAGCATCATCTGATCTACAAAAACAGTTTATTGTAGTGAAATAATTCGATGCAAAGAAAAAAAGTGTTACGAATGCGCATCACTCTATAGTTCAATTAGTATAAATTAGATGTAATTAAGGAAATGTATCACGTTAAAGACGACTAATCATATCAGGAAGCTTTCTCCCGTAAATGAAAACTACTGTATTTCATCATAAAAAAAATGTTTATCACTAGATTGATATATTAAGCTCCATCAAGCTTTTGCGTTTGATTTCTGAGAACGCTTTGCAAGGCTATAAATCAAGAACCAAAGCATAGAATTGAATGCCTCGTAAGTTTTGCTCCAATAATAAGATTATTTTTTGTTAAATAGATTCGAACATTGGCATACATTAATGGTTGTCGGTGAATTCTTAAGTTTTACTTGTTATGTACTCTCAATAGTTATTTTTCAAAATCATTTTGATATCGGATTTCTGGAATCATGGTCTTTCATATGGCGTGTTGTAACTATTACAGCCATATCATGTTTACCACTTTATATTCTCAAATATATGCAAACACAATTTAAACCACCAATTCATGAAAAATT